CACACACACACACACACACACACACACACACACACACACACACACACACACATGCATGCGTGCACTCATGCATATACTTAAAAGAAAACTGAGTTCCATAACCCAAAATGGATGAAGTTTTCTACAGTGGTTTGCATGACCTGTTCCTCTAATCAACTACCATAGCCCACAGGGCAGACTCGGCTATTCCCACGTTAGAATCAAACTAAGAGTCTTACGTTAAGCCTTTCCTTCTTCCCTTTGTGGCGTGGTTTAGTCTCATGTATCTGAACACTTGCTCTCCAGTCCATGGCACTGTCTGGGACGGTGGTGGAACCTTTAGGAGGTAGAGCTTTGCCAGACGAAGTATATCACTAGGGGTGTGCTTCGAGGTTTTATAGTCTAGACCCACTGACCGTCCTCTCTCTGTGTATGTGTGTCTCTCTGTCTCTGTCTGTCTCTGACTGACTCTCTTTCTCTCTGCTTCCTCTGTGTGGATGAAGTGTGAGCTCGCTGCTCCCTGACTGTCACGCTGGCCTCACATGCCTGCTGCCATGGCTTCCCTACCATGACGGACCATGTCTACCCTGGAATTGTAAGCCAAAACAAACGCTTTCTTCCCTAACCCACGTATCATCAGATTGTATGATCACAGGGACAGAACAGAAACTAACACACCTGGGAGAACTGTTTACCACGCTGAAAAAAACAAGAGCCACACACCAGAAGGGCCCACGCCTCTGTTATCATTGGACAAGTTGAATCTCAGTCTTCACTGCCATGGTGCAGTGTTTAGAAGCTAGCTGGAATCGTGTGGGTGGAAGTGAAGGAGAATGGACAGATGACATCCTCAAATCTTGCATCCAAAAAAAAAAAAACATAGCACAAGTTCCAATATGGCTCCTATACATGCCCCAACTGTGATCATTTGGATCTAGAGACTCACTTGGAGGTTTGGTCTAGACACAGAAAGTAGGTAGTTAATGTGGGAGAGTGCCCTGGAGTGTGTGCTAGGACCCTGCTTCCTTCTCCTTTCTCTCTCTGCTTTGTGGCTACCATGGATAGAGCATCTTTTGCTCTACCTCACATTCCCTGTCACAATGTCCTGCTGGACCACAAGCCCACAGCTGTGATGCCAAGGGACCACGGAGAGAAACTAGAACCCAAATGATCCCATGTTTCTTGCTTTGATGTGATTTTTCTGGGGTATTTTTGATAGAAGGACAGGAGGCTAAGCTAAAGGGGAAAAGGATTAAAACCCTGGCTCTTGAACCATCCTTACATCCTGCTTTTTTAACTTGTAAGGCAAAGACATGGGCTTGAGAAGTTAAAGTCTTTGAAGGACTGCATGTTGGGCCTCGTGACACACACCTAAGCAGATTATATATAAAATGATGCTTGTACAAGTGTTCTAAATAATGTCGCACGCTCTTCAATGAATTTCTCTCTCTCCTTTTTTCTACTGTTGTCTTTTTGTTTCGTGAGACAAAGTCTCACTATGTCATACTAGCTGGTCTTGAACTCACAGACATCTGATCTGCTCCGCCTGCCTCTGCCTCCTGAGTGCTGGGATTGAAGGTATGCACTACCACATCTGGCTTGACAAGTTATTTCTTAACATTATTATTTAGATAGTCTTCTTGAACCTAATCTCAAGTTGTCATTAGTAGCATCTACTTGTTGATAGCAAGAACTCAGAACCTTGAAAAGTCATTAGAAACCGCCCCCCAAAACAAACCAAAATCCACACTGATCTTTTTCTTTTTTTAAAAACCTTTCCAGAGCTTTATTGGGAGAGAGGGGGAGGGAGGAAGGGGGGGGAGAGAGAGACAGAGAGAGACACACACACACACAGAGAGAGAGAGAGAGAGAGAGAGAGAGAGAGAGAGAGAGAGAGAGAGAGAGAGAGAGAGAAACCCGTTGGGGGGAAGAGAACGGAAGGAGAGAGTGAGGAAAGAGAGCCCACACTGATCTTGGACACTATAACTGTCTATTTCAGGGGTTCCCAGTCAATCTGTGTTTCAGACGCTCCACTCCCCTGCCTCTGGTAGATCATAAGTCAAGCCATGTTTGGGACAACACTGGAGAAAGCTGTGCCTGGCCTCATGGAATTGAAGATGTAATATACTTCCATAGTTAGCAGCTACCAATCTGATTAGGAAAAGTTCGACAATGGACATGAGGGGAAACTTTCCAGATGTAGCGTTAATAATAAGAAAAAAGCACATTCATCCAGTGAATTATGGGACCTGTGTGTGCGTGTATGTGCGCATGCAAATATGCATCCATGTGCATATACATTTAGAGGCCAGCAGACAACACTCGGCCTCTTCAGCACCGAGATTACAGGCATGAGCCACCACGCACAGCTTTTTAACATGGGTACAGGGAGAAGAGCCTGGTCTTCATGCCCGCAAGGCAAGCACTTCATCAACTGAAAGACCTCCTCAAAGTAGGTTTTGAGACTTCTCTATAGAATAGAGTTGAGATAATTAGTAATATACCGTAACACGGGTATCTTATTGTACTGATCACACTGAAATGGCATAGTTTTGAGGAACAGTTAGCTATGTACTATGCAGAAGTTGCAGTGGGACTGAGGCAGCCACATGAACATACAAACACACATGCCCGTGATTAAAGAGACATTCTCACATCTCTGTTGAGCACAGAGCACTCTCCGACTCTGATATGGAATAAGAAAGACACTTTGGATAGCCACAGAGCAGCCTAGTCTTCCCTAAGAGGCTGTTGAGATAGGGTCTGTCATTAACGCTGTCATTAGTCCTGATATGTTTGGTGCTGGGTTTCTGAAGGTCTGTGCACAGTCCCATAAGGCCCATAGCGATCGACACCAGCACACTGGTCTATGGCTCTGCAACTGTCCTTTCATGGATACCACAAAGCCCCAGGCAATAGCTCACTTAAGAGAATGGGGATGCAGAATCGTGTGCTCAACTTCAGATGTTTCCAGAACTCCTTTCACAGGTCAAATGAGACTCGTTACTGATGACGTGAGCTCATGAAACATATCACGTAAGTGAGATCTTTACTCAGTTGCTATGCTTTCCCAAATCCACACTGACGATTGAAGAATGGAGGAGGAACTGGTTTCTCTGTTTGCAGGAAGGTCCAGCTGAGTCCAGACTCTACAATGCATATGATGAAAGAAGACTGTGTGGACGGATTTGACCAGATGAAGGAAGCAGCAGGCAGGTAACGACCCACAGGCACATTCCCTTCAGTGACTTACATGAATCAACATGTAGCTGCCTAAGTCTGTCCACTATACCTTTCTCCTTCATGGATTCAAAAGAGATTAAAGATGAAACAGCTCTTGTGGACTATTATTGCCATCTTGGCAAGAGAAAATCATTGACGATCATGAGGTTGGAGACAGAGCTCAGAAAGAAGCATGTTTGCCTAGCATGCACAAAGGCCTGGGATCTATCCCCAGCAATGCACAAACCAGTTGTAGTGGCAAATGCCTGTAATCCCAGCGCTTGGGAGACGGAGCCAGGAGGATCAGGAGTTCAAAGTCATCCTTGGCTCCATAAGAACCCCCCAGCCCCCACAAACACACACACACACACACACACACACACACACACACACACACACACACACACAATCACATACCTATTAGACTTTGGGTTCTGTCATGCTGCTGAGGTAGACAGCTAGACAGAAAAATCAGGACATCCAATGCAAGGTCAACCAATCCAGCTCCACTACAGATAGTAATTCCAAGGCCCAGCCAAATTGGGTGGTTTGTCTACAGCCTGGGAGCTGGCTGACTAAAAGAAATTAGAAAGTCGTCTTCAGGGGTCCCTCTCTATGATCCACCACTGTGAAAACAGGAAATGTTTCTACGGGAAACCTATTGTCCTTACATTTCTTCATTCAATTCACCCCAAGAACAGAGTTCAGGAGAAATTCCCAACAATTCCTACCTACATATATCTATATTATATGGGGGAGCCATGAGGATGGTTCAGTGGGTAAAACACGTGCTTTCCAAGCTGGGAGATGTGAGCTCTTTCCCCAGCCAGTGGAAGGACAGAACTGAATCCCACTGGCTGCCCTCTGTTCTGCACGTGGATGCCACGGCACACATGCAGCCCGCACCCCCCCCCCCACATGAAATAAAAAATTTCAATCTGTGTATCATAATCCATGCTTTTCAGGGATATGAAATGATAGACACTGGCAGGATGACTACACACAGACATCCAGTTTTACTTTGGCCTGAAAATGCTATGATGGGAAAAAAAAGGAAAACATAACAAGACTCAGGATTTAAAATAACTTTCAATAGAAATTTAATCTGAGGATGGCATCAATAGGAATTTTGGGTGGGTATGGGGATAATTAAGCCGATTGGAAACACAATAACACTGGAAGAATAATAAAATGTCATCTTAACCCAGACATAATATTGGAGGGGTAAGGAGAGGTTGATAGGCATTTTGGAAATTGAGACTCCAAAATGAAAAAGCTCTTGAAACTCAGCCAACCACTGCAGAAATTGCCCCCCAAATGCTAGGAAATTTACAAATGGCTTAGAAATGTTTTTATGAGAAAATCAAACTGTAAAAGTAGTGCAGAGGCCTGGGGAAGAGATTGCACATTGGTTGGAGCCCAGAAAGCAGACATTGGGATGGCTGGGGAATACCCGGGCTTGGAGTGCCAGGCCTCTTCTACATGTCCTCCCCACAGGAAAGAAAAAGCAACTCCAGCAGAATAGCCACGCTTTACTTCTGCCCGGGGTTGAGCAAAGTGGTCCAGCCACAAACACCATCACCACAGTTGCCACTGTCTGGGGTGGTGGCTATTGGTCCTGCTTCTCTGAAAGCTGGACAGTGAAGATTCCTTTTCTGGCTGAAACACAGGTTAGCATATCTCAGTTGTCTCTTGATTAAGATGTGTGTGTGCGTGTGTGTGTGTGTGTGTGTGTGTGTGTGTGTGTGTGTGTGTGTGTATGTGCGTATGTGCGCACACGCACATGTGTGTGTGGGAGGAATATGCGCAGATGTGTTTCCATGGTAACGCAGAGGCCAGAAGAGGATGCTAGGTATATTTCTATATCACTCCAGGCCTATTCCCTTGAAACAGGGTCTCTCACTGGGCCTGGAGCCGGGTAGACGGCCATCAAGCCCCACTGATCCTCTTGCTCCCATCCCCCACAGCACTGGCGGTAAAAGCGCATGGGACCGCATCTGTATTTCTATGTGGGTGCTGGGATCTGAGCTCAGGTCCTCACACCTGTGTGGCCGGTGTGCTGAGTCAGCCGAGCTGTCTCTGTATCCCCCCTGCCTCAGGACATAGCTGACTGCCAAACCAAGGCTGAGGCCCCACAAACAACAGGGAGGGCCTTCTCAGTTTCTGCAATGTTGCTGAGGACGCGTAGACTTTCTCAAGGGTCAACACACGGCCTGGCAGTCAAGCCATAAGACTCTTCCACTATAAGCACAAGGCCACAGGTCACATCTCCAGCTGGACTTTTCAGCGGTTTCCAAAGTCCTTCCTGAGCCAGGTGACATGGGTGTGTGTGTGTGTGTGTGTGTGTGTGTGTGTGTGTGTGTGTGTGTGTGTGTGTGTGTGTG